ATTGAATTAAATTACTTTTATCTAAAATATGTGAATAAATCTCTCGAGTCATATGAGTTGTCGTCAAACGACACAAAATACTATACAACTTATATAAAGTGAACATAATTTCCAAAATTTAGTTCATGTGAAATAAAAAGTGAGAAAATAGTGCGAAACTCACGTATGAAATCATCGGAAGATTGAATGAATGAGCCATTCGTGCTTCAAATACACAACTTTCTTGTGGTCCGATATAACACGATATGAGTCCCTCTGACCAGAGTTTGGCAGTTTGTCGGATGCTTTCGGACTCATTTCCATAGGTTTCGGTCACAACAAAATCCAAGCTATGATTGTTGACGAGAGGCTGGTATTGATTGATTTCGGCGACCGCCAGACTTATAGCGCCCGATATCTGGAGACCAGGTCTGGAATATTCTTCATCTCCCACTTGACGTTCACTACCAGTGATATAACCCATAAAAAACTTGTCGCTCAGCTTAACGCTGTATATATGCGACAAACTTATGATGAAAACTACACTGATTTTGTAGATTAAAACCTCTCGCGAAACCAACATTTGGTTCAATTTTTATCAATTTTAATTACATTCGTAGGGTTTTCCACAAAATTTGTTTTATATATGAATTAAAATGATTGAAAAATAAATATTTAAAATGTTTAAAACAGTGTAAAAAGTGGTGAAAGCCATGAAAATATAGCTCCAATTCTTAGCGAGCGTTCACTTTAAGGCAAATATGCAATCAAACAGTGATTAGGAGGCAGTGATTGTGAACAGGTGTGCAACACATTCAATACACTTCACAATGCATTACATAATAAGTTGTGTTATAAGGTATGCATTTGTTGAACAACTCCTGTATTCATCACAGCATTCATACCAATGCCTCGACTCGACTGATATTGTATGCAATAAGAGCTTAACATTAACTCCAAGTGCCGTCACATCTCAGGGCGCTTTACAAGTCGCCCGTTGGTTGCCATCCAATGGCTTACATTTTGCCAATATTTTACTTAATTTCCGATTAATTTAATTATTATATGATATGCTATATATTTTAACTCTCAATAATTACTTTAAATAACGTTAAATACTGTCAGAAGTATTATATATAAAGTTTTAACACACTCTTAATATTTAAGATGTTATCCAAAGAATATATAAAAATCAATAATTCTGTTATATATTAATCAGAAATGATATTAAGACATGATTTTGCATTAAATATTTAACAAACATTTGCTCTCAAGTAATGATTTGGCAGTAATTATTTGCGGAGACAGACATCGATCACTATTAGTATCATAGGATAACAACCTCTAAGTTTGAATAAAATTAATTATATCGTGCATTAAATAGGCTCATAGGATGTGAGGGCAACACATAATATGTTATATTATAACAAAATGTGACCAATGGTTGGTTTAGGCATAAAGAATCTTACAATAGATATTTTGTCTGTGTTTATAAATTAGGAATTTAATAATAATTAAAATTTAATAATATACTAAATAAGTCTTTTATCAAAATAATATGTTTAACAGCTATTTATCACGTAATCTCTGATAAATCATTTATTTTAATTATTTTAAGGAAATGCAAATTAAATGTGTTATACCATTTTGTAATTAACTATAAAGTTATACGAGTCTGTAATAACGATTTAATATTTCTGCATATAAATAATTTATTGTAGACATCATTTTATAGACAATATAATAAATTGTAAAAATTATTATTTAATATAAAATATAGAGTAATTTAAAAGAAATGCATATTTAATAAAAGTAGAGTAATTGTAATGAAAGGGATTCTCATTTAAAACTAACTAAATAGTTATGTCATGTTTACGCCCACTCTATATGACTAAAAGCCCACATCCCTTATCAGTTCTTTAAAATATTTCTTAATTATTATTTTTATATGTTTTCCCATAAATGCAAGAATATTACAATATTCTGTAAATTCTGTTCTAAATATAAGTATTAATTATGAGAACTGCTGTCCAAACAGCAAGAAATTCATTTTAAGCACTTTTCACATTCAATTTATAGAATTTTCTATATGTGTATTGATATTAAAGTTTAACAAAGAAATTTTTAGTTTTGTTTTCATATAAAACAATTGTATTTTATTTTATATAACTTGTAATTATTTTTGTTATAAATATATCTACTGTACATTCTATTTGTTTTTTAAATCGTTTTATATTACCGTACACGATCGATAAATTTTACCTTGTTTAAATCTCTATCAAAACATATTTAATACAATTGAATAAGTACTTTACAATAATTGTAGTCTCAAGTGTACCACTTTTGTACTCAGATTTTATATGTAAAAAGCCTTTGTCTGTCTATGATTTACATTTAGAATAATGGCGTCTGTCAGAACATTTTAAAACATAATGTCATAATTAAAAATTTATTATATCGTAATATTATTGATTTAAACCTATAATAAATATAATTACAACTTATTTAAAATTAAACTCACAGTTAATTTTTAAAAATGTGTGTAATTTATAATCGCAAACTCAGAATAAACACTATATATAAGAATTGAAGTAAAGAATAAAAGCTTACAGTATGTCATGTGAGCTAACGATAACTATGTGTTGCATAACAGCTCACATTTGAATGCGATTAATAATTTATAAGAACTTTTATCGCTCTTTCATGTGATAATGAGTGATATTCTTCACAGAATGTAAAGTCAAATTCAATCAGTACTTTGATTCCCAATTCAGTTCCCAAAATAAACACAAATAAAGCAATGCTTTAAATATTTAGTAATAAAAATGTTTTATTTATTATACGAAATAAGATTAAAATCATGAATCCATTCAATCCTTTTCGGCGATAGTAGTCAAGTGCTGTTCGATCTCGTGTTCGTTGAGCGCCCGAAACAGTCCACTCTTGTCGACAACGCCGACCTGTATCTCATTGGGCTTGAAATCAATGGTCAATACATTGGAAAGTGTTGTGATCGCCATCTGAATCGTCTCTTTCTCGTCGTAATCAGTCTTCTTCTTTAACTTCTTCTCCAACTGGTTCTGCGCCTCAACCGCTTTCACACCAACAGCGCATCCGCGGTAACCGCAGTAATAACCGGCCGGATCTGTCTTATACAGCAACGGCTTACCTATTCATACAATACACACAATCAATACAATAAGAAACCATCGTTTGGCAAGTGTTCAAATGGTCACATACCGTCCTCATAACCGCAGTAATAACCGGCCGGATCTGTCTTATACAGCAACGGCTTACCTATTCATACAATACACACAATCAATACAATAAGAAACCATCGTTTGGCAAGTGTTCAAATGGTCACATACCGTCCTCGTGAGCGATAAGCATCATAGAAGTGCCCAATGGTCTCATCTCTGCGTTCTGTGTGTACACCTGCGCGATGTCCGCCAGTTTGCGGGCCAACACTTCGATGGGCATCGAGTAACCGAACTTATATCTGAAGTTTGCCGCCTCATAGCGGGCTCTTTGGACCTATCGGTGGCCACAAAACACACAAACATTAGTGTCATTACAACACCACATAAGGAGTGAGCGCTGAGTCACCTGAGAGGCCGAGTCGGGAACAATACCGGTGATCACACAACCGATGTTTGGTGTGATTCGGTATAGATTGGTGACAGAACTCGGATCAATCAGTTTGTCGGCCACCTTCTTCTGGGTCACCACAACCGCGCAGTCTTTGCCCTTCAGTCCCAACGATGTGATTGCGCTCTGGTTTATGGCTTTGAAGGCATACTCTG